CCTCTCTCCACCCTCTTCCCCCATGGGCGCATGATATTTTTCTGTTGGAGCTTGTTTTGAAATTCATTCCAACATCAGTCATAGATAAATGCGCTTGCAAATACATTTGGTCACTGAGCAAAATTGAAGGGAGGGGAAGTAATCTGCTGCTGCAGCTAATATCTAAATTTGTTATTCCAATTCCCTTTTCTTGTCTCCTTGTAGGTTTTCTCGGTCCATGTCTCTACCAGCAGCAACTGGGGCTGGACCTGTCTCACGTCGACCATCCTCTCTCCCTTTTTTGGTAAGTTTGATCATGTTGAAGAATGAATTATAATGGGTTGTAGTCTGGTTCAAAAGTTAAGTTGTTTTTATCTCTGTTTAGGACATTGATTTCAATATCAATTTAATTGAGAAAAGAAAAAATTCTGTCAGAAACAAAAAAAGTATGTAAAAATTTTTGAAAGTTTTTCTTTTGAGGGCTGATTTTGTGCAGTTGAAATTTTTCTTTCAAATCATGTATCTTTATAATTACAGAAATTTGTGGCTTCTGTAAAAAGAATGGAGAGTCGGCGGAAATTTATGAGTCGCATTCGCTAAATGTGTACAATGGATGTGAGACAGTCATATCTTGTCCAGTATTAAGGAGACTCAAGTAAGTTGTTAGGCTTCAATTAGAGTATTTTTAAACGAAATTTTTTTATCCACTATAATGAATGAAAGTTTTTTCCTCAGATGCGACAAATGTGGCGCCACTGGTGACCATGCCCATACGAGGACACATTGTCCGTTGTTAAGGGAAAAGCTACCAGTAGCTGTAATACTAAAACAGACCCGTCGAAAGTGTGATGGGTCTTTGAGGCAATGCTTTTAATTTTGGTATTGAGTGTATTATGCTGTCAATGGTGTAAATTAATATTTCTGTTTGATTGTGTGTTCTCTAATTTTTAATCTCAGGTATTCAGCTTCAGCTGTCAATTGTGTTTTATAAATTTATAATGTATTAGGTGACATTTTTTGTGTCTTTTGATCTTCCTATTATTCGTAACCAGATTGTATGTAAGTACCCAAGGCATGTGCCTTCATAATGAATTTAAGTTAAAATCATGTATCATGTTAGTGAAGATGCCTTAGAATTTATATTTTGCAAATACGTACATGAAATATATATCGATTGAATAAACTCAGACAAAACTGAAGTAAAAGTAA